GCCGATGCTGGTGCGGGCTCCCGGCGGCAGGCAGCGCCGCCGCCGGGCACTCAAATGGCATGGGGCACATGGGCCCCCATGCCCGCACATCTCCCAGGCACATGAAAATACCAGAAGGCTGCACATGTAAGGGTGCATGCATTGCAGGCAGGAGTGCAAAGTGGCCTGCCGCGGCGGTCGGCTGTGCCATTACTCAGTCAGCCGCCGCTACCGTGCCGGGCTTGGCGTTCCCATGCCAACATGCCGGCGTGCCATCGCGCAAGGGGCCAGTGAGTGTGTGAGGCGGAGGTGGGGGTGGTGGGGCTGCCGCTGACCGTTGCTTGCTGACGCTGACGCTGCTCTTACCTGCGGGGGGAGGGGGTGGGTCGGGAGCCAAGGCCGGGCAAAAGATGCCTGGGCCCTACTCAAGGGAACCGAGGGAGTCACTGTGCCAGGGCAGCAGCATGCTCCTCATGGCACCGGTCGGCAAACCGGGCCTGCCAGCAAGCCGGCCGGCTTGGACCTAGCGCCCTGCCCTGCCTGCAGGCGCACTAAGACCAGGAAGGCTCTGCGAGAGGCGTCTGGGGCGGCAGCAGAGGGCCGCCGCTTTGTCCTGCACACGCCCCCGGTGCCAGACCGCTGGGGGCGGCACCACTCCAAGATGATGCTCATCGAGGTGAGCGGCGGCGGCGGCGGCAGCGGCAGAGTGTCAGTGTCCTTCCTGGAGCTGCGGCGGTGGCACAATGGGCTGCCTGGCAGGGCGCAGGGCAGCTTCACTGCTGCCTGCCCTGGCGATGGCGAGCCCTAACCTGCCTCGAGGAGCATTTTAATTCTTAATTGGTATCATGCGGCGCAGTACGCCACCGGGGTGCGCTTCATCCTGCCCACCCCCAACCTCCAGTTCCACCAGCTGCACAGCCAGACGCAGGTGGGTGGTGGGGCAGCTTGCAAGGCAGCCTCGCCCGGTCCAGCAAGCGGCAGACCTGCTGTCAGCTTGGGGCAGGGCGGCGCCAAGTGGCAGCGCTGTTATTCTGCCGACCACCTTGCCTTCCTGCCTGCCGATCTCCCAGCCCTGCATCGCAAGCAAGCGACCCCCTCCTTGCCTCGACTGCCTATGCAGGCCGTCTTCTTTCAAGACTTTCCACCCAAGCAGGACGGCACCTCCCCACCTGGCTCCGACTTTGAGACCAGCCTGGCGCGGTACCTGGCTGCCCTGCAGCTTCCAGGGGAAGAAGCCAAGCACGCGCAGGCAGGCTGGCACTGGCCCGTTAGCATGGCATGCACACGCAGCAGAGCTGTCTGCTGGGATGACGGCTGCTTGCTGTCATCTGCTGGCCCGTCTGTAGTTTGTGTGTGTGTCGAACCGCTCCTGCCTCCCTGCATGCATCTGCAGGAGCTCGTTCGCCGGCACGACTTCTCTGCCGCCCGTGCCGTGCTGGTGGCGTCCGTGCCGGGGTCGCACGGCGGCGAGCTGGCGGCCGCCTACGGCCACAAGCGGCTGGCGGCGCTGCTGGGTCGGGAGGCCTGACCGGAGCGGTTTGCGGGGTCGCCGCTGGTGGCTCAGGTCAACAGCTTTGGCAGCGTGCAGGGTGACGGCTGGCTGGAGCGGGAGCTCGCTGCTTCGCTGTTGGCGGGCTGGGCGAGGCCAGCGGGCGCAGCGGGCGCAGCGGGCGGGACGTGGGGCAGCGTGCCGGGGCAGCGCCGCCTGGGGCGCGGCTCGCTGGCGCTGGTGTGGCCGACGGAGGGGGAAGTGAAGGGGTCGCTGGCTGGCTGGTTTGCGGGCAACCACCTGCACAGCCCCTCTGCAGAGAACGGAGGTGAGCGCCGACGACGTGGTTGGTGCCAGCAGCCAGGCGCAGTCCAGGATTCAGAGAGCAGCAGAGCGGCTGCTGACCCCCTGCCCTGCCCTGCGCTGCAGGCTTGGCCGTCCTGCAGCCCCTCCTGCGTCGGTGGGGTGGCGAGCCGACTGGGCGGCAGCGCGCCATGCCCCACCTCAAGACCTACTGCCGCCACGTGGGAGGCGACGTCGCGTGGCTGTGCCTGGGCAGCCACAACGTCAGCAAGGCTGCCTGGGGCGAGCTGCTGCGAGACGGCCGGCTGTACGTGAAAAGCTTCGAGCTGTCGGTGCTGCTGCTCCCCTCACGAGAGCTCGCCTACCAGCGCAGCCGCCGCCGCGGCTTCAGCTGCACCAGCGGGCAGCCGGCCGCGGGGCCGCTGCCAGGCGTGGACCGCTCCACGGCTGTGCGCTTCACGGCCTGGCAACGCGGCAGCCCGCAGGCGCCGAGCCTGCAGCCCGCGGGCGGCGGCGGCGGCGGCGGCGCCACACTAGTGGTCCCGCTGCCGCTGCCGTACCTGCTGCCGCTGCAGCCCGGCGGCGAGGTCGAGGTGTTTTGGATGAAGCCCCAGGACAAGTGGCGCAAGGACTCGGAAGGAGCGGCGCAGCTGGAGGTGCGGCGGTGGCGGATCGCCGCCACCGACCGCCGCCTGGGCCTGGACTGCCACGGCCTGCCCTACAGTGCGCACATGCTGACAGGGGAGGAGATCGGGGCTGATGAGCTGGTGGAGGGGCGGGACTGGCAGCAGGATGTGGTGGCCAGGGTGAAGCGAGCTTGGGAGGCACGGCACGCGGCGGCGGCGTTGGGCCACAGGAGCACTGCAGCCTGAGCGGGCGGCCAGGCCTGTTTCTCACGGCCGGTTCTCTTCTTTGTGGGAGCAATGCTGTTTCCTTTCTCTCATTGGTGATTGCAACACTCTGTTGGAGTTGCACAGCAGGTGAAGGAGACACCCAGTGAATGAGCACATGAGCACAGGTTCATTCGATGCAGGTTCGTTCAATGCAGGTTCATTCGATGCAGGTTCGTTCAGTGCATGGGTTCGTGTCGCAGCTTGGGGCAGGCAGCGGGGCTTTTGAAACAAGTACATGCATGCAAGTCGGGAAAGGAGCGCCACTGCTGCTGGTGTTGACGCAAGAGTGGTGCCGGGCGGGTGCAGTGTGGACAGGTGTGGGGCCCAGCGGCGGCGCGGCGCCGCCGCTGCCGCCGAGTGCTTGCTCTGTGCGCGTCCACGTCGTTCACACACCTTCCTGTCGTCGTTGGGCGCGGCGCCGACACAGGCGATTCACCAGGTGACGGGCAGGCCGGTCAGGCCCACGTCTGCCTTCGGGTCTGACCACTGCAGCTGGTCGGGCGCGACCGCCAGCTTGATGGTGGGCAGGCGGCGCAGCAGGCCGCCAAAGGCGCACTCCAGCTCCGCCATCGCCAGAGGCATGGCCACGCACAGGTGGGTGCCATACCCGTAGCCCACCTGCCAGGCAGCGCGGGGTGGGTGGGTGGGGCATAATGCTTGCAAGCGGTGGCGTTGCTGGCGGCAAGGGAGAGCCGGCTGAGCAAGCGAGGCTGCCGGCACAGTCGGGGGAGGCGAGGGGGCACCTCCACGCGCTTTTCAAGCATGCTCGCCCACACCCCAAACGTTCAAGCGACCACGACCCATCCCACACACGCACCTGAAAGCATCTCGCTAAATCCACGCAACCCCAACACCAGCACTAAAGGTTCCCAACCCATCCCACCACACCACACTCCACCACCACACCCACGCTGGGCGCGCCCACCTGCGGGTTCGGGGAGTGCCTGATGTCAAAGGCGTCTGGGTCTGGGAAGGCCTCCTCGCCCCGGTTGGCGCTCTGGTTCAGCGCGATGAGGCCCTCACCCGCTTTCACCGTCACGTCGCCCACCTGGTTAAAAAAATGGCATGCAGGGCCAGAGGCGCGGGCCAGGGGATGGCCTGATCACGCTGCTGCCCTGGGGCCGCCACCCGGCCTAGCCCCCTAGGGTATACGCTTAACACAGTGCATAGGGGCCCCGCAGGCCCTGCCCACCCCACCTTGACATCCTCCAGCGCCATACGCCTCAGAGCGTAGGCTGAGGCAGTGTGGTAGCGGCAGATCTCTCGCACCGCGCATGGTAGCAGCGAGGGGTCGCCCTTGAGTGCCTCCAGCTGCGGGCGGCGGCGCTTTGAGATGGTACATGAGTATTATACAATGATCCAGCGGCGGCGGGGAGCGCGGCACCCCATCAGCTCACGCCCGCCGGTGGCAGCCCGCAGCCCACAGCCGCCGCCAGCCGCCGGCCAGCTGTTGCCGGCTGCAGGCCAGCTGCGGCCCGGCATGCTCGGGCATGCAGTCCCCGGCCGGGCCTGCTCCCCAACCTCGCCCCCCTGCCCAAGGTCTGCTCACGCGGCCAGTCATAGCGGGGGACTGTAACACATAGTCGAGCCCCCAAACCTCACGCCCTCCCCACCCCCCACCCCCACAAGCTGGCGGCCCACCTGGTCGGGGTGTTCCAGCAGGCTGAGCAGGCCCAGATTGATCATGGAGGCGACGGTGGCATTGCCCGCCACCAGGTGGCTCCGGATGACCTGGATGACCGAGGGGCTCGGCGGCGGCGGGAGGGGAACGAGCGGGGGGCAGCGAGGAAAGCGAGGGGCGTCGCGCAGGCGCGGGCAGCTGGGGAGCCGCCTGTCTGCCGGCCGCGGCTCTTTCCCAAGGGATGCTAACAGCGGCGCCACCCTGTCGGACACGACACATACACGCGCGCAGGCACACGACAATGCGGGCAAGTGCCGCACCTTGCTCAGCACATCGTCAGTAGGCTTCGCCTCCTTGGCGGCCACCAGCCCCTCCATGTACTCCTGCAGCTGCTGCTGCGCCGCGGCGGCGTCGCGCGCGGTGGAGCTGCGGGCAGGCAGGCGGGCAGGCAGGTGGGCGGGCATTGGGCGGGTGAGCCGAGCCAAGCATGGTGAGGCCGATTCAGTGTGCGGAGGCGCCATCTGCTGCCACCTCGGGGCTGTCCCACCGCCGTCTACTGCTGCTGCACCCCCATGCAGCCCACCCAGGCAGGCGCAGCGCCCGCCTCACCTGCCGCTGGCGCGCACCGCCACGTTGCTGGACAGGAACTCGTAGTCCTGTGTGTGGGGTGGGTGGGTGGGGGAGGTAAAACACAGCAGCGGGAGGTCGCCGAGCGTGGCTGGGAACGGCACAGCACAGCGAGGGGGCCGCGCTGGCGCTTTGGGGAGCCATGGGCGCGCGTGCGGCCAGCTGGGCCCCACCCCGCCTCTGCTCCTCTCACGCCCAGGACCCCTCCACCTCTCGCACAGCAGCCCGCACCTCGAAGGGGATGCCCAGCATCTCGTAGATCACCCTGAAGGCCAGCGGCAGCGAGAACGCCTCCGCAAGGTCCACGCCGCCGTCGGCGCCGGGCCCCCGCCGCTGCATGCCGTCAATCAGCTCCTCCACCTGCTAGGGCACACAGCGTGGGCAGCGTGGGGCGCGGGCAGGCCGGGTGGGTGGGGGTAGTGTTAGCAGGGGCGGTTTGGGGGAGCGGCGCAGCAGGCACGGTCCTGGAAGCTGCAGCAGAATAGCAGAATGCAGGCGTGGGACCGTCGTCGTACAGCACAGCACAGCACCGACGCCCTCAGTCGCCACCACGCCCCAGCGCCTCGCCTTGGCTTGTATGCTGGGGCGCATCACCTGGGCTGCCTCGGCGTCGAAAAAGGGCTCGAAGATGGCGCGGTAGCGGGTGTGCTCTGGGCACGCGGCAGAAGGTGGGGCAGGGCAGGAAAGGCAGCCGGGAAGCGGGCAACAGGGTGGGTTGCACGCCCTGCTTCCTCCCCACCAGCCCACACACAGCCACCCCGCGACCTCCACCACAAGCCACCGCCACACTCGCACACAGTTTGTGTGTGTGTGTGTGTGACAGCGTCACCCCCGCTGACCTGGCGGGTCCATGTCGACATAGCTCGCCTCCCGCCCCTCCACCGCAGCCTTGGCACCTGCGGCATCCCCCCGACACATGGGCTTCAGCGCGGCAAAGCGTGGAGCGCCGCGGCAGCACAGGCAGGGGGCACGGGGAGGGCAGCAGGCACCGCCGGCGCTGGGAGGCGCTGGCAGGCGCTGGCCGCCGCCCACCCGGAGCCAGCTCCGGGAAGCCAGGGTGGGTGCGGACCTGCGGGACAGGGCAAAGGAGGTGCGCCGCCAGAGCCCTGACCAGCTTGCTGACGCGCAAGTGGCAGGCTGGCATCTCGGGCATGGCAGCTCTCCGCCACGCCTGCCCCGCCCCGCCAGCCATGCTGCCACCAGGCAGCGGGCGCCTCGGCTGGCGAGGCTAAGGCCCAGCTGCCGCGCGCCTGCCAGCACTGCCCCGCCCCGCCACAAAGCTTCCCACCTTACTGAAGCGGTTGTCCACCAGCACCTGCTGCAGCTCCCTCGGCTTGGTGATGAGCCAGATGGGGCTGCCCTCAAACAGGCGGGCCCTAGCCACGGGGCACTCCCGGCGCAGCCGCGCAAACTCGGCAGGCGGCTCGTAGCCTGGAGGGGGCAGAGGGTGGGAGCGGGGTTGAGAGGGGAGGCGCAATTGTGGAAAGGGGGACTGAGCCATGCCAGTGGGAGGAAGTGTTGGCCCTCGTGTTTGAATACAGAGGGATGGGGCTGCTGTGGGGCAGGGGCGGGCATGGATTCAGGTGGGGATCCAGTTGCAGCTGGGCGCATGACAGCAGATGAGGTGAGAGATGACGCACGCATGACGTGCCCACCCACCCTTGGGCCTGGCAAAGGGGAAGCTGCCCACGTCCTCGCCCTGGGGCTGGGGCTCCGATGCCGAGGCAAAGGGGCGCGACGCTGCGGCGGAGAGCGGGGCGCCTTTGCCGCCGCCGGCACTGCCTGCCACAGCGCGGCGCAAGGGGGAGAGCACCGAACGCTGCATCGCCTTGGACGGGCTGCTTTGGTACCGTGTGCAACGGGGATCGAGAAAGACCGGCAAATGGAATGCGGTTTGTGCGAGTGGGGTGTTGGGCTGCTTTTCAGGCACGCCTCCCTTGGAGGGGCAACTTTGATGCAGACAGGTGCGATCAACCAGATCGCTACTTCAAAATCGGATGTGAATCGATTGCCGCGGTGACGCAACAGGGCTGTTAAAATTGAGGACGTGGCGTGACGAAGCAACGCAATGACTTTTAAGTCCTTCGATCGCTTTGAGCACATGCCCGTTCCCGTCTCTCAATGGGGCCGCCGCAGCGGAAGCCGCGCCGGCCTGGAACGCTCGCCCTCCTCGCGGCTGTGCTTGGTTTCCTCTTCTGCCTGCTTGCTGCGCTCACCTACAACTCAGCAGCAGGCAGCACAGCCAATCAGGTGCGCCGCAGGGGCCGCCGCCTCCCTCCTTCAGCTGCCGCCACCGCCGCCGCATCCACTCGCGCTGGCTGCTGCCCTGTATCACACCCGACGCCTCCTTGCACTTCCCCCGCTCGCCGTCACGCCAGGGCACCGGGCGCATTCAGCCTCGCCGGGGCGGCCGCAATGGCGGCGCGGCGGCAACCGGCACGCTGCGCCCCGCACCGCGCAAGCTCAAGCTGACTGCCGACATCAAGCGGCGGTGCGACGGCACGCTGGGCACTTGGTGCGCCGACTTCCACACCCAAGCGCCGGTACCGGCGGTGACGGCACCCCGCGGAAACCAGACATGCAGCCTGGACTGCAATAAGGCGGGTGGAGGGAAGGGGTGCAGCGCGCTGCTGCGGTTGTGCGCGCAGCATGGCGCCGCCCGCGGCCCTGCCTGCCGCCACGTCTCGCCTGCCCCCCAGCACCGCGTCGCCAACCCCGGCACCTGGCCTCCTGTCACCATACCGCTCTGCCGTGCAGGTCGGAGTGTGCAGCGCGCTCACAGGGCTCTGCACCTGTCCCGCAGGCACGCCCACCTCTGCTGCCGCCGCCGCTGCCCCTGCTTCCTTTAAGCCTCACGCTGGCATGCCTGCCCCCTGGCCTGCATGCCCGTGCCAAGCGCCCCGTGCCCTGTGCCCACCACCACCTTCCCCTGCCGCGCGGTGCAGGCTGGATGGGCTTCAACTGCCTGCACCCCATGAAGCGGTACTGCACCCACAAGCACCGCCAGTTTGGGTTTGAGGTATCGCGTGTGGAGCCAGACCTGGCAGCTGGCATGCAGGCGCAAACCTTCTGGGACTTCCCAACCAGCCACTGCGCAGGTGGGTCTCAGGCGCAGCGCCAGGCGCAGCGTGTGGGCCGGGGGCCGTGGGTGGGTGGCAAGGTCAGGTTGGGAGGCTGCAGGGGCGCCTGCTGGAGGCAGGCAGGCAGGCAGGGGGCGGTGCTGTGCTGTGCCGTGCTGCCGCGCTGCGCGTGCCTGCGCTTCGCTACCGCCCTGCTCCCGTGCAGCACCACCGCCCTGGCCTGCCGCACCCCTCCCACCCCTGCCCCCAGGGACCTGCGATGAGGACATAGCCGCCTGCTACTGCCCCTCGCACACCCCCTACGGCCGCCTGCCTGCCCCGGAGGATGCGCCGCTAGGTGCGTAGGGGCTGGAGCAGCTCGCCGGCAGCCACTGGTTGCGGTCGGCGGCCAACAGCTGCGCCGCAGAGCAGAGCGGCAGCGTGCCTGGCGCCCGCTCCTCTCTCTGCTCCTCTTTGAATGCCAGCCGTGCTGCACCCTGCGCCCCCGCCGCCCCGCAGGCAGCCCGCCGGAGCGGCAGGGCCGCCCCATGGGCCTGTACTGCCAGCCCAGCAAGCTGGACAACGGTACCGCCACGGCCTGGGGAGAAGTCGAACCGGAGCTGCTGTTTGGGCCGGAGGGGTGGTGCACCTCGGAGGCCCCGCGCCACGTGTGCGACTGCTTTGTGGATGGTGGGTGGGCGCGCGGTGGACATCGGAGCGTGCGGGTGGATCCCTGCTGGGCGCAAGCGCCGGCACGCATGGGCGCAGCGCGGTGTTTGGGCATAGAGAGTCAGGGTGGCATCTGCCGGCGGGGATGTCGGCGGGTGCTGGCACCCACAGCGCGCGCCGCCACGGCCCTGCGCCGTCTGCCTGCAGGCTGGGGGGGCAACAACTGCGAGCTGCGATACGAGGCGGTGAGAGAGGGCGGGCGGGGGAGGGGGCAGGCAGGCAGGCAGGCATACAGGCATGCGAGACCTGCGGGGAGCGGCTGCTGTGGCTGGGCTCGGCGTGACCGCCCGCCGCGCGCTGCCGACGGCTCCGGGCTGCCGAATGCCTGCCCCAGTGCCTCCTCCCCTCCCCCCCACCCGCAGTTCTGCCTGAACCAGTGCAACGGGCGCGGCGAGTGCAACCAGGGATACTGCAAATGCGACCCAGGTGGGGCGCTGGTGGCGCTGGTGGTGGGGCGTGCTTCTGGCCTCGGACAGCCGGTGCAGCACCTTGCAGGCCGGCTGCAACGCCTGTGCTGCCGTAGGGTGAAGGGCCTCCCGAGGAAGCCTGGCCCTTGCCCCGTGGCGTGCAGGCTGGCACGGCATTGACTGTGCCCATGCCAGCGCGGCAGCCGACGACACGCAGCCAGGTGCGTGCGTGTGCGCGGCCGGCGAGCGCTGGTGTGGAGCGGGGCTGCTGGTGGCGACGGTGTTGGCAGCTTGCCTGCACGGCTGCCCAGCGCGTGCCCTGCCGCGCCTGCCCCTGCCGCCGAAGTGCAGGGCGGGAGGCGGATCGGCCGTGGATTGCGGAGCTTGTGCGCACCCCGGCAGCCCGCACCTTCCCTCCGGATGCAGTGCGCAGGCGTCCTCTCATCTACGTGTGAGGCACAGCCTAGCTTGGATACCCCGGACAAGAGTACCACCTGCCCTCATTCTGGCTGATGGCGGCAGCCACAGGCTGGTTGCCTTGGGCTGTGGGCATGGGCTCTCCCAGGAGCGGGCTGCCGCCACCCGCCTGGGCTGGCGGCCAAGCGGCTGGCGCGCGGCAAGCTGCTGACGGCACTCTGCTGCTGCTGCCCCTGATGGTGGCCGTGTGGTACTGCAGGTATGAGATGCCTGCCGAGTACGTGACCCTCATGATCCAGTACCGCTGGGGAGGTACCGCATGCGTGCCCCGCTACTTTGACTTCCACAACGAAACCCACCTGTCAGGTGACTGCGGCGGTACCGTGCAGCTCCCGCCGCTCCCCCTCCCCGCACTCGCTGCCCTGCTGCATCCAGGGTCCAGGGTTGTGCTGCTGGCCTGCCCGCAATACCCCCCAAAGCTTGCCCTCCCCGCATCTGCCCCCGTCCCTCGCTGATCCCGCTGCCCCCGCCCTGCACCCTCACCTCCCTCCCTCACCCCCTGTTCCCTGCCGCTCCCAGAGGACCTGTACGCAGCCGAGAGCGGGTTCCTGGAGATGCTGCTGCAGAGCGAGCACCGCACGCTGGACCCAGAGGAGGCGGGTGGGTGGCAGGCGCCAGCCCCGCCCAGGAGCCTGCCTTCCTTCCCTCTCTCCCCTGCTCCCGTGCCCTGTTCTCCTCCACTCGGCGCTTGCACAGCCATCCATCTCATCACGCGTGCACCATGCCGGCGCTATCTGCCGCTCGGTGCTGCATATACCTCCCCACCAGCGCCAGCACCCCTGCTGCGCCGCAGACTTCTTGTACGTTCCGGCCTACACATCCTGCCTCATCACCCCGGTGCAACGTACCGCCGACTCGCTGCGGGACATGTGGTACGGGGTAGAAAACCTGCGGGTGCACGCCGCCACCCACATGCTGCTGGAGGCATACTACTGGATCAAGGCGCACGCGCCCTACTGGTGGGTGGACCTGGGCAGCCCACCGGGGCCACGCGTTCCTGCCTGCTGGGCCTTTCTTTCCTGGCTGGGCCTGCTGGGCCTGCTGGGCCTGCTGGGCGGTAGGCCTGCTGGCCTGCTGTGGCGGGCGGGGCCATCCGGGGGCAGCCAGCGGCTGGGCGTGGGCAGGAAGCGGATGTGCTGCAGCGAGCACGTCGGTGGCACGCCACCCAGCCGGCACGTCAGCGAGAGCGGCGGCGATGCGTGACGCGGCGCGGCCGGCGGCATGCTGCATTCCGGGGGCCGCCGCGCCGCACGGCAGCTCGAGCGTTTCCCTCCCCTCTGCAGGAACCGGCGTGGCGGGTGGGACCACATCTGGCTAGTCACATTTGATGAGGCCAGCTGCTACGTGCCCGCCGCCATCCGCGCCAGCATCATCCTGAGCCACTGGGGCCGCATGGACGCCAACCACACCTCCGGCAGCGGGTGCGCCTGCTTGCCCCTCGGCCTGGCCGTCGCCGGCTGCGGCCGTGACAGCATGCGGCGCTGGCGCTGGCGCCCACAGCGTGCCGTGCCGCCGCTCGCCTTGCCTACCGCCGGCCGTGCATTGGCCCGGCTGCGTGGCGGCCCCACGCCGCGGCGGTTTGCCTTACCTGTACCGCCCCTTATGTACCGCACCTTCTGTACCGCCAGGTACTGGGAAGACGTATACTCTGATGAGGTGCATCACCCGCATGTGAGGGGTGGGCAGCCCTGCCCACAGACAACAGGCAGGCACAGCCCTGGCGGCAGCTTTGATCTGCGGGGAGGCCAGGGGCAGCGGCCACCCTGGCGCAGCCCTGGGTTGCCAGCTGTCGCTGCGCCGGCATGCTGCTGACGATGCCGTGCCTGTCGCCTGTTGGCCGTGCTGCTGGCGTGCAGTGGGAACCCGACGGCTTCCTGCAGAAGATTGCCGGGCACCCCTGCTACGACCCCGTCAAGGCGAGGAGCGAGGGGGGTGGCCGCTCGGGCGGGGCCAGCACCGATTGCCGGCCCTGCCAGGCAGCCAGATGTCTCCCCAGGAGGTCCCGCACCTCACTCACCCCATGCCCCTGCTCACGCAGCCATGTTCTGCCGCCTGCATTCTCGCCTCGCCGCCGCCGTCGCCTCCCACCCCTGCCATGCCCAGCAGGACCTGGTCGTGCCTCTCATGAAGACGCCCCAGACCTTTTACAAGTCGCCCCTGCTGGGCGCCACCCCCCGCAGCCGCACCTGGCTGGCCTTCCACCGTGGGCGGGTGGGTGGGCGTGGCGGGCCGGCGGGGGCTCAGGCAACGGCTGCCACGCGCAGCAGCGGCAGCAGCGCTGCCCGCAAGCCTGCGCAGTGCACCCTCGCACGGCACACCCACCCCTGCCTCGCTTTCTTCCCTCCGGCACCCCCCGGTGGCCCAGCCTGCAGGTACAGCAGGACAACCCGCCATATTCTCGAGGCCTGCGCCAGCGCCTGGCCAACGCCTCTGCCGCCGGCGGCTGGCTGGAGAAGCACAAGATTGTGATGGGAGAGTGAGTGCGCCTGCTTCGCCACTCCTCTCTCAAGAGGCTCCAGGGTTCCTACCCCTCGCCCGCCCGCCCGCCCACCACGTCCCGGCTCGCTTGCCACCGTCGACTCCGCTGCAGCCGCCACGCGGCTCAGCCGTCGGCGGTCCACTCTGCGCCTGCCGCGCCTGCCGCGCCTGCCGCGCCTGCTGCCGTGGGTCACGCCGTGCCCGCTGTGCCTGCTGGTCATGCTGTGCCTGCTGCGCCTGCCGGTCACGCTGCGCCCGCTGTGCCGCGCTGTGCCTGCTGTGCAGGCATGACGTGGTGGAGGGCGACTACTCAGAGCTGCTGGCCTCCTCCACTTTCTGCCTGGTGCTCCCCGGGGACGGCTGGAGCGCTCGCATGGATGACGCCATGCTGCACGGGTGAGAGCGCCTGGCTGGCGCAGGGGCCCCGTGCTGGGTTGGTAACGGCGCAAGCACGCCGCGGCGCGGGGCTGCACGTGGGCGGGCATGGCCGGCTTGTGTGGGCCCGCGCGGCTGTGGAGCCGAGCCGCTGACGGCGGTACGTGCCGAATCACGGGTGTGTGTGCGCCGCCGCGCCGCTGCAGGTGCATCCCGGTGATCATCATGGTGAGGAGGCGTTGCCGCCTGGGCGCCTCGGCGGTTACAGCCTGTCCCTGCGCCGCACCTGGCGCCACCCCTTGGCTTGCGCCCTGTCCACAAGAGTCGCTCTGCACGCCTACATTGCGCCTGCTCGCCCGCCTGCCCGCCCGCCTGCCTGCCTGCCGGCCGGCCTGCCTGCCTGCCTGCCTGCCTGCCCGCCCACCTGCCTGCCTGCCTGCCCGCCTCCATTCCCCCTGCCAGGACAATGTTCATGTCTCCTTTGAATCTATACTGGACCTGGCGGCATTCACGGTGCGCATCCCGCAAGCCGACGCGGAGCGCCTGCCCGAGGTGCTGGCCGCGGTGCCCGAGGAGCGGCGGCGCGAGATGCGGCGCGCGCTGTCGGCTGCATGGCAGAAGTTTGGGTACACCTCCTACGGCCCCTACGCCCGCAAGGTCAGGGAGCTGCAGCGGGCCAACGCGGAGGAGGCGGCAGCGGCCCGCCGCGAGCGGCAGGCAGAGGGCGGCGACGGCGACGCGGCGCCGGCCTCGCTGCCCGCGGCGGTACCGGACCTGGACCCGGCGGCCGACGACGCCTTTGGCACCATCATGGCCTGGCTGCACAGCCGCATAGAAGCCACCCGGTAGCTGCCTGCTGGTGGTGCGCGTTTACATGTATGTGCAGTACTTATGTATGAATGCAGCTGCAGCTGGTATGCTGCATCTGTGAAAAGCTCTGAGCAGTGCACCCTGCTGCGGGTGACCACCCTCCTTCCCAAGTCGTTCCGACTGGCAGAGCTGCCTCTGGGGGGCGTGTGGATGCGGCGCACGCGCCACGCTAAACTGTGCAAATGTGGAGCCTTGGGGTATCTACAGCGCATGCATGCCTCCTGATCTGCACCCTTCCTGTCGGTGCATCGATGGTTTCCTGTACTGTCCTGTTCTGTGCCTGCTGTGCTGTGCTGTGCTGTGCGCCGCCCCACGCTACGCCGCAAAGCCCTCCGTCCTGCGCCGCTTGCTGGGCGGCTGCAGGTCTGCCAGGGTGCGGGCCAGGAACTCGTCGTAGCACTGCACAGCAGGGTGGGAAGTGTAGTCAGGGGGGAGAGAAAAAGAAGAAAACAACATAATGTTTGGGGGCTGATGAGGCGGGCCATCTGCGCAGCCAGCTGTGTACTGTGCAGCGATGGTCGCGCCCGTGGGGGCGAGTGCGAGGGTCTAGCGGCACTCGGCTGCCTCCCTGCCCAGTACCGCATGGGCAGGACCCAGCCCACCCCATCCCAGGCCCACCCTCAGGAAGTCTGGGAAGCTGACTGCGTCGTCCCTGTCACCGTCCATGAGCTCCAGCAGGGATTCCGCCAGTACCACCACCTCGGCCTGCCTGCGGTACCGAAAAAACAGGGGCAGGGGAGATGGGATCGCGAGACGGCAGGGGTTGCACAGGGTGGAGGGCCCAACCCTCTCCTTCCTGTGGCAGGATGCAGAGTGCATCCAGTGCAGGGGGCAAGGGAAGTGGACCTGGGTGGGCATCAAAGCCCAGTCTCCTGGCGCCTGCATGGCAGTCCGCACCTCTCCTGCATGGCAGCTCGCACCCGTGGCCCTACCAGCCCCCCACACCTGTAGCCGCGGTTGCCCAGCCAGGTCGCCATCTTGGCAAGGCCCACGCTGCCGCTGCGAGTGCCTGCATGCACATGCACACAACGGGTCCCAGCGATGCCGTCTCTGGAACGGAGCCCCCTCTTTCCCCTCAGGCCACCTCCCAGCAGAGCGAGGGTAGCAGCCGGGCGTTCCCCCAGGCGCAGCACCCCACAGCGCCACTCAAACCCAGCCAGACCTGCCCAACCCCCCAGCCCGGCCCACCCACCGCAGCCGTCTATGTCGGCGAAGGTTTCGTAGGCCCGCTGCACACGCAGCAGGCGGGGGTGCTGGCCCGGCGCCGCCAGCTGGCGCAGCTCGTCGCCCGACAGCCGCATAAAGTCGGCGCCGCCGACGCCTCGCTCCACGAATGCGCTGGCCTGCGTTGAGCGAAAGAAGAGGCAGGACAACACCGCTCTACATGGAAGAGGCTCGGCACCACCCAAGGCAGAGGCCGGGGCTGCGCCCCGATGTGCCGCACCCCGACACGCGAGACGGCAGCCCGCCGCGCCGGCCCGCCGTGCCCGGCCGCCCCGCGCACCTCCAGGCCCTGCTGCTCCAGCAGCGCCCGCAGCTGCTGCGCGGTGTAGGTCAGCAGGGGGAGGTCGGTGTCCTGCACCTCTCCCAGGTTCTGCGGGCAGAACAGGGCAGGGCAGGGCAGGGCAGGGCAGGGCAGGGCAGGGTGGTGTTCGTGGCGGCGGTGGGGGCGGTGGTGGGAGGGACAAGGTCATGTGTGCTGTTGCTGCAGTGTGTGCGTGTGTGTTGGGGGGTTGGGGTGCGGGCTAGCAGCGCATGATGTGGGATCACCACCACTAACACCAGAGAGAGGGAAGGCAGCGTCGAGGGGCCGGCAGCAGCGCAGGCCACGCCCGGAGAGGGCGGCGTGCCGCCAGGGCCAGCCCACCTGCAGGATCTTCCTGGCAGCCGCCTTGAGCTCGGCCCAGCCGGGGGCGCCCGGCTGCAGCAGGCCTGCCAGGAAGGGCAGCAGGCCCGGGCAGGCGCGCAGCGCGGCGTGGTGCTGCAGCCGCATGCTGAGGCTGCGCAGCAGGCCCGCCACCTCGCAGCGTACCGCCATCATGACCTCCGAGGGCCGCAGCCCCAGCCCCGCCGCCGCCGTGCCGGGCAGCGCGGGCGGCGCCGGCGGCGGCTGCGCCTGCACAAACGCCGCCAGCGGCGGCAGCAGCCCGCGGGCCACCAGCGCGTCTTGCAGCCGCTGCTGCGGCCCGCCGCACAGTCGCGCGGCGACCGCGGCGGCGTGCCAGCCGGCCGCCACCACCTGCCCGCCGCCGGCGCTGCAGCCGGCGGCGAGGTTGTAGGCTCCCAGGTCGAGCTCCGGGGCGGTGGCTGCCGCCAGCAGGCGGCGCAGCACGCCCGGCAGGTCCAGCTGGCCGGCCCCGCTGCGGCACCGCCCGGAAGAAAGAAAGCGCGGCGGCGTTGTAATGCAAGCAGGGGCGGAGTCTGGAACCGGGATGCGGCAGCGGCAGGGGGCCCAGGCCAGCCAGACTGTAGCATGCCCAGCGTGCCCAGCGTACCCAGCATGCCCAGCATACCCAGCAGCCAGCCAGCCAGCCCCACCTCACACATGCCTCCACCAGCTGCGCCTGGCACCCCGGCTCCGACACCAGCTCCTGCAGCGCCTGCAGCGCCGCCACGGCGGCGCGCCGCTGCCCGCCCGCCAGCTGTGCGCCTGCCGCCGCCAGCTGCACCAGCGGCGGCACAGCGCCCGCCTCCCTGCGGGATCGCAGTGCATCACACAGAAGTGAGTGCAGGAAGGCGCTGGGCACACCCAAGAGAGGCGCAACAGGTGAGGCAGCAGACCACCGACTCTTGCCAGCATGGAGCAGAACTGGAGAACGAGCAGCTCAGGAGCAGAACTGGGGGAGCAAAAGCTCCCATGCAGGCATCCGGTGGAACAGCAGGCCCGCCAGCCGGCCGCTCACCCGGCCTCTGCAGCAAAGCGCGGCCCATTGGCCGCATACTTGGCCACGATGCCTGCCGACGCCTCCTTGCTTTCCTGCAGGGCCGCGCCGCGCTTCTGCAGCAGCACGCCCACCAGCGCCGGCAGCACCGTGTCGCGCCACGCCGCCTCCCGAGACTGCGCCGCCTGGGGCTGGGGAGGCGCGGGCTGCAGGCGTGACGCCGCGCTGGTGGAGGGGATGCCGGGGGCGGCGGCGGGGGTGCCAGCCGTCGCCGCAACCGCCTCCTCCTCCGCCACGCTGTCCTGCGGGCAGGCGGGCAGGCGGCACGAGCAGGCACGCATGCGAGGTCGAGAGGCAACGGCCCGGGCGCTCATGCTGCATGCTGGGCTGCAGTCCTGCTGCCATCCTAACCAACCCTAACCCGTCCAACCAACCCCAACCCGTCCAAGGGAACTGAACATTGCAGCAACCCCCCCCACCACCACGGAAACACAGGGCGGCACTCAGCCGCCATCGGCACCTGCAGCAGCGCTGCCGCCAGATCTTGCAGCAAGGCGGCCGCCTGCTCCCTCGACTCCCAGCCCAGCTTCTCGTCCTGGAAGGAAGCTGCCAGCTCAGCGGCGCCCCCCGCCCGCTGCAGCCGGCCGCGGTTGCGCCGGTGGCCTGCAGTGGAGGCAGGGGGGGGTGAAAGGTGGGGGTGTGAGAGGCGGGGGTGGTAAGCGGAGCGTGCAGGGAGGCACAGGTGCGGCAGCGCACGGGGGCACAGGTGTGGCGCGATTGGAAAAAGAAGGGCAAGTCTGCTGGCAGTATTTGAGGACAGGACGGCTACTGCATCCTCTGACCATGAACAGATTAGCCGCCGCACCCCACCACAACACTCGGAGCACAACACACACGCGCGCGCCCCACCTGACAGCAGCACCAGCAGCGCGTGCAGCGCCACCCCAGCCGCCTCCGCCGCCTCCTCGTCCCGCGGCAGCTCGCGCACCGCGGGCTGCTGCAGCCGCGCGGCGGCCAGCAGGCGCAGCACAGCCTCCACGCCGCCCGCCTCCCTGCAGGGCGCAGAAGCCGGTCACGCCAGCACAGCAGCGGCACGCCACCCTGTTGATGTATCGGGCGGTACCAGCGAGCGACATCCAGGCGGCTGGTTGTTGCCCGCTGGTATCGCCCCAGTATATCAACACAACCACCCGGCGCGCAGCAAAGCCCTGGGGAGGCAGCG